CGCGCCGGTTCATGCTGAAGATGAACATTTCGTTTAGGCGACGTCAGTCCTTGAGGAATTTAAAGTAATACCAGTAAGTGGAGAATATAATACTTTATAAAAAAATTAATGTAATTTATTGAAACAATTTAAATAAAAATTAAAAAAAAATTTCTAGATCTGCTAGGCTTTGGAGAAAAATTTGTTACTATTGTTAGTCGTCCTACCCATGATGAAGAAAACATTTTACTTTGGCTGCGTTCCATTTAAAGCTCACAACACTCGTGGAATCATTTCCTTGTTATTTATCAAATATTAAACAAGGACAAACGATGCTCGCAACGATGGTCCTGCCCTTCGTTTCTCGTTATCTTTTGTTTACATTTTAGTTCATCTACGCACCGCGCATGAGTCTCCAGTTGCCTGAATGGTATTGTATGGCATAAACGGAAAGTAAACAAAATAGGCTCGATACTTAATGTTAAAGTGGACTTTATTCTGTATGTCTAAATATAAATCCTTCAACAACACACTTACTTCATGAAAAAATCAAGTATTTAATTAAATATGTAAAAATTAGTATGTGTTAAATAGATAAGTGTGTGAGTTTCGAGTTACGCATGAAGTGCATAACGTATCATTTTATTCTTCATTTGGGCGATTTACACGGAGCGACTTTATTCGTTTGAAGCAGCGTCTAGTAACGTCCAAACGTCATTAATTCGTGAATTCTTTTGACGTTATTTTTATTCGCTTGAAGCAAGCTTCTTAATTCATCAACGAATTCGCTGATGAAAGCTTTTACACGTTTGTTTCTTATTCGCTAGCATCTAAAATTTTGAAGTCGCTTGACGACTTAAAAATTTGCTCTGGAAGATATTTCATCACGATAAGAAGCGATAAGAAGCGCAGGAAGTTAGCGATAAGCATCGAAAGAAGTATTCGCCGCAACTAGACGCTGACAAGAAGAAACCAGCGTTTAGAAAGTTTTAAGTAGCGAATTCGCTATGACGTCACTAGACGCTGCTTTAAGCGAATAAAGTCGCCCCGTGTAAATCGTCCTTAAATCACCTATTTATTCTGTGCACAACACAGAAATGATGCTTCATGTGTGTAACTCAGAACGCACCCTAAGATGCACCGTTACCAGGGAGATATAAACAATTTTGTATGAATTATGAATCGATTGGTCTGTTTTCTGTTCTTGGACTAGAACTCTTTCTCGCTTTCGACAAATATCAAACGTATATACCTATCTCACTTTAATTTCCAAAAGTGTACACTTGCAGCTGCAGAAAACAGACCTCATTTGTCTTTTTCAGGTGCACTCCATATATCTTTGCGCTTGAAATGGAGTATGTTTATATTCGAATAATAAAGAAAAAAAGGAGAAAACCTTGCTAAAAAATTGTGGAAAATACAGTTAAGAAAGAAAATCGTTCTTTTTAGGTACAAGAGAAAAGTTATTGTTGACTTTTCATAAAAAGTAGCTCTCGAGCAAGATGGCTGTGTCCCTGCAAACTCGCGTTTTCTATGGTCTGAGGACAGACATTGCCAATAATGCGCATTATATCACGGATGCGGAAGTTTTATATCCAGTCGGCAATACACTGGCCATTCACAATATTCTTCAGCATCAGCAAAAGCTAATTCGATTACCTGAAAAGTATTATGACGCAAACGCCATTTGTGTCTCGCCCAACAAGTGAGTTTTGATGAAGTATATGGCAAGCACATTTGTTCATAAAAAAAATAAATAGAATATAAGGAGAAACTCATTCAACCATGTGAAACTGAATTAATTGAAGCAAACTTTCATATTTTTTATTTTAATAAAAACGATGACAGAAAGAAATAATTTATTGGCACAATACTGATCTCATGTTAGTTCAATTGGTTTAATATATCCCTAAATTCAATCAATAGATCTGTTCTTTTTAGCTGAACTTCTTGCACAGTTCATCTATTTTTTTCCAATGTGAAAAAAAGAAGAAAGAGGTAAACTATACAAGAAATTCAGCTAAAAGAACAGGTCTAATATATCGCCAATAAATTATTATTAGAGAAGAAACAACAATTTACAAAGATGAAAAAATAAAAAGATAATTTCACAAGGTAGATGCTTATGGATACATTTTAATCTTCCTCTGTTTTTCTTTGTACACAGATTGTAATTAAATAATCTGTAATTTTAGGAAATTTGTTGCTGTATCCGATATAGGGGACAAACCTACCATATCCGTTTACGATCTCAACTCTCTTAAACGTAGGAAGCTGCTCGGGATACCTTTCGATGCTCCAGGAGTGACTAGGTTTACATGTTTGGGTTTCACTTTCGATAGTAAGAATCTGGTAGCAATCACCGGTGAACCCGATCAAACGATGCTTTTTTACAACTGGGAAAAAGGCAAGGTCGAGTCAACGTTTAAGCTGGCTAATCCACAAAACCCGCTAGCGATCGCCGAGGTGTTAGCCTGCAATCCAACAGACGCGACAGTGGTGGCGGTCGGCGGTGCTTATACCTTTAAGTTCCTCACCGTTTCTGAAACGGTGTGGCGTCCGTATGGTTTTGCCAAAGCGGAGAATCTCCTTGTCTGTTCGATGGCTTGGTTGGACGGCGACAGACTCATGGTTGGCACCGAGGACGGTCGCATGCTCTACCTGGAGAACGGCGATCTTAAGAACGTGTACAGGATGACTGACACGGTGACAATGAATCTCAAGATTCGAGAGGAATATGTCATGCCCATCGCCGCTAGCTCACAGACAACTCTAGAAGCTGGCGAGGACGTTACCTGGCAACAGAACGTGGCTTGCTTAATCGCATTTCCACGTGGATTCGCCTATGCGCATGGCGGAGGAACCGTGGTACTCTTCGAGAAAGAAGGGAAACACAAGTATACGAAGAGAAACGTTTACGTGATTCCGCAGCAAATGGTGAAGGACGACGACCCAGATCTTTACAAGATCCACACGATCAATGTGAATCTCAGTTTTGATCGATTGATCATCACCGCCGGCTGGTCCCAACTGTATTATGCGACGCTGTGGGGTCCAGATCTGCAGATAGACCCGGAACCACAGAAAATGAAGATCATGGGCCAGCCGTTACACCATGGTCCCATCAGTGGCCTCTCCATGTGTGCGTGGAAGCCAGTCTTCATGACATGCGGCGAATTCGATCATAGCGTTCGACTATGGGACTTTGAGACAGAAAGCCTCATTATGCTGAAGCAGTATGATGAAGATATATTCAGCGTCGCATTGCATCCGATGGGACTATTCTGTCTGATCGGCTTCACCGATAAATTACGCTTCATGAGCATCCTGATTGACGATCTGTTACCGATGCATGAGATCGCCATCAGAAATTGCAAAACGGTTCGCTTTAGTTACAATGGTCATCTATTCGCCGCGGTTAACGGCAACGTCGTGCAGGTGTATACCACTATTAGCTTCCACAATCCCTTTATCCTCAAGGGACACACAGGCAAGGTGAAGGCGCTTGTCTGGTCACAGACAGACCTAAAAATGCTAAGTATGGGTGCGGAAGGTTCCATATACGAGTGGGACATGACCACTGGCACGCGATCCAGCGAGTTTATCTGGAAAAACATCGTCCTACATGACATTGCACTTTCCTCGGACGCGTCGTTCATTTACTGTATCACACAAGACGATCAGATACGCGAAATCAAAGAGAATGAGGTATATCTTGATATCTTTTATTTTTATTTTTAAAATTATGCGATTGTTTTTGAAATTATATCTTTTACTTAATCAGCCAAGTCAAAAATAAATTTTGTTAAATGCTTGCTATACATTTTGTGGACAAAAAAGCACCAAATTTGATACAAATTGTTATATTCAATGATGTCAAATTGATTAGCAGATGTACAACAAAATCTGCTGACGTAATATAAGAACGAATTATCGGACGGCAAAAACCGTGTACAAGCTTGCTAAATTGATTGCAAGAATCGATCAAAAAAACTTCCTCAGTCTTTGCCGTCTGACAATTTGATTTTACATTATGTTAACAAGCCTTGTCGGTAAAACACAAGCTTAATGCGAATATAATTGATGCCAATTTGCTAATATTTTTTATCAAATTTGCATCAATTTAAGTAAGCAAATTGCTAATATTTTGCTGACTGGGATATTTGTTTCTTATCAGATAGTACGAGAATTTCGATTGCCTGGCAGAGAAATGCAACAAATCATTATGGGGAAAGATGACCTAACGTTATTCATAACTTCTCTCGGTGGTATCATCATTTCATTGAAAAGTCCGCTTCAAACTCCAATAGAATCAACAGATTTCCACATGCACTGCGTCGACATCACACAGGTATCTCTCTCCCTCTTAATACAGTGAGAATAAATGAAAATATAAATTGTTCT